AGTCTGGTGTTAGCATCTAGTCTGGTGTTAGCTTTGAGTCTGGTGTTAGCTTTGAGTCTGGTGTTAGCTTTGAGTCTGGTGTTAGCATCTAGTCTGGTGTTAGCTTTGAGTCTGGTGTTAGCTTTGAGTCTGGTGTTAGCTTTGAGTGTCGGTAGAGTTGATCCAATGAACAAATTATGATACAGTGCATCTCAAAGCATGTTCACCGTCTCACAAAATCATATCAGAGCTGTTCTGTGTAGATTCTTAGTCTTCAATTCAATTCAATTTATACAGGCCAAGTTTACACCATGTGTCATCTCACAGCGCTTAACATAGTGAGGTCACGGTGTGCTCACTTGGACCTATGTGTCGAGTTTCCTTATTGCTTCAGAAAGCTTTATTCAGTGTCAATACCAGAGATGAAAGTCAGAAGTTGTTTACAGGTATTCTGTTAACAGACGGTGCACAGAACACATTAAGTAAGGAAAGTCCAGACTGTCACAGACTACTGACGCATGCTAGCACAGTGAAAGGTTTCCAGTGTAAGTCCTTCTTTCTCTTTGCCTGTAGGAACTCAGCGAGCTAACGCCCGAGCCCCAGCACCCTACAAGAGAGATTTTGAGGCTAAACTCCGCAACTTCTACAGGAAGCTGGAAACTAAAGGCTACGGCCAAGGACCAGGGAAGCTAAAGTAAATGCACTGTTTGTCTGCAGAGGAGACCCTGTCTGATCTCCTTCTTCTTATTGGCATGTTTGGGATTGTCTGACTATCTCTGGTTTGTTTGTACGTCTCAGGCTGATCATCCGTCGTGACCACCTCCTGGAAGATGCCTTCAACCAGATCATGTGCTACTCCCGCAAAGACCTACAGCGCAGCAAGCTCTATGTCAGCTTTGTGGGGGAGGAGGGGTGAGTATCTGTGAGGGTAAAGGACAAGAAGAAGAAAAGAGGGGAAGGAATGGATGCTTTGTGCTATGGCAGATACTCACTGTTGTGAACACAGAAAGAGTCTCAGATGTTTGAGTTCAACTCAGCTTTTATATGTTGGTTCAGTGTCGATGTTTTGGGGAGAAAGAAATAAGTGTGTGTGTGTGTGTGTGTGTGTGTGTTGCAGTTTGGACTACAGTGGGCCTTCCAGAGAGTTCTTCTTCTTGGTTTCCAGAGAACTGTTCAACCCTTATTATGGTCTGTTTGAATACTCTGCCAACGACACGTACACTGTTCAGATCAGCCCCATGTCTGCCTTCGTGGACAATCACCACGAATGGTGAGTGACATTTATTACCCACACACACACACACACACACACACACATGCAGTCTTTATCAACAATGCAGCTACAACTCTTCTTTGTCTTGCTTCAGGTTCCGGTTCAGTGGTCGTATTCTGGGTCTGGCTCTGATTCACCAGTACCTGTTGGACGCCTTCTTCACCAGACCCTTCTATAAAGGCCTACTGCGCATGTATGTTTGCCTACAATGCAAAGACGTGCTCACACACATTTATATACACACACACACAAAACTTTTGCAGGTAACTGAGTACACACCAGCCAGTCTATGTTTGATGGTTCCTGAAGCACTGGAGGTGGAACCCCCACCCACACACACACACACACACACACATGCTGTATACAACACAAGTGAGGCCCTGTGCAATATTACTTAAATGTCAAACATGTGACATTGAAGTGCCTCTGAGGCGTTCGTAGGGGGCGTATCCCCTACATGAGAACCCACAGCTTAAAGCTAACTGGGCTCACACACACAGCTAGCTTAGCATCACATGTGATATGATGTGATACAGTTTCAGTAACATTCAGGTGATATTTCAGAGGCGTGCATGCACTTCTGCTCACCGCCGTACACGCCGGCTTCTTTCCTGCTTCATAGTCCCTGTGACCTGAGCGACCTGGAGTACCTGGATGAGGAGTTCCACCAGTCTCTTCAGTGGATGAAGGACAATGACATAGACGACATGCTGGACCTCACCTTCACTGTCAATGAAGAAGTGTTCGGACAGGTGGGTCTGTGCGTACCTATCCTACACGACTCCCACCAACAAGGGAAGTTCGGTCAGTCACTCGCTGCTTGTTGTCTGTTTACTTCTCTAACAGCAGCTCATTCTGTTGTGCCTGTGTCCATTTACATTCATGGGCACATAAACCTGAGGGGCACTTAAGTAAGACCGAGTCTGACTGGGGTCAGGGGTCAGGTCTTATCTTTGTCTCTGAGTGGGCTTGTGAAGAACCTTCTGCTTGTTTAGGATCTTTGGCCAGAGAACATTTGACTGGTCCTTCCATTCCAACACAGCTTCAGTGGGCTGCTTTATGTCCACGGGCCTGATGCAGACTTGGGCAGCGTCCACGCTTGCGATCCTATTCATAACACGGTCGGTGCCGGTCGGTCTGCGATGCGAAAGCTGCATTGACCCTCATGTCAGACAGAGCAAAACCCACGGGGCTGGTACGGCTGTTCCTGAACTTTCTACAGGTATTGTAATTAGTTCTGACTGAGTGTCAGAGGACACGCCAGGTGGGCACACAGACCTTCTGGAGAGTTCAGAACTTGCCAGTGTTTTTGGGTCCATCAATGGAAAACACATGGAAATCAGAGCACCTCTAAATCCAGCAGCATTTACTTCAGTTAGAACACTTTCATGACAGAGGATCTCCTCAACCAGTGTCTCCTGATACCAAGCAACTGCTTCAGCACCGTTTGTTTTCCTAGCACATGTAGAATCATAAGGGATCAGTGGTTAGCATGTCGCTGGTTAGCANGAACGTCTTCGCTGCTAACGCTGCTATTCGTTAGCAGCTAAGACGCTAACATCTTCACTGCTAACGCTGCTATTCGTTAGCAGACCGTCTTCGCTAACATTTTCATGAAATGCTGATAATGGTCCAATGAACAGATGATTAAATGTTGCTGATGTTCTGGTCCATTTGTCATAAAACAGTCAGTGCTGTTCAGTGTCACAGAATGCTGCCGTTGCGCCGTTTGTCCACTAGATGGAGCTCTGACTCCATTCAGTCCTCACCGCTGTCTTCTCAGTGGTACAGAGGAAGCTGCAGCCAGGCAGCACCACAGGAGTGGGCTGAGCCGAGCTGCTGACAGGTAAGTTCAGAACCACACTGTGACACTAACAATGACTCAGCATGTTTCCTGGTTCACTTTAACTCTCTTTGCCATGAGTCAGGACGACTGACGCGTGCTTCGTTGCGTCGGTCATGCTTTTCATGTATGTTGTATTGCTGAAGTTGTGCTAGCCTAGCTTAAGCTACTCCCTGTCTATGTGAGCAGTAGCATCGCTGTAGTTATGCTAACCTAGCATAGCGTTAGCTAACAGCTTAAAGCCAGTGAGGAACTGCAGACATAAGTGTACAAAATGTCTGAGAGTCCAGAACGAGCGTTCATCAGTCCGTCAGCTTGTTATTGATGATATCAATGCTAACTCAATGCTAAAGCTATGTTCTGATTCTCCATGAATCTAAGAGTGTAGATAAATGAATCAGGACTTTAACATCAGCTGGAAATCACCACATGGTGGAAATGAGCTGCTCGGAGGAGGTCTGGCTCTCTGAGGGCTTCTCTAGTTTTGAAATATAATACTCCGTCAGTATGAAAACACATCTTTTGAGCTTTTCAGAAAGACAATTTTTAAATGCTGGCGCTATATCATGTGTATTTGTGTGACCAGCTTGCTGGTTTGACACAGACAGTTTGACGAAGCATTTTTATGTTCAGCCAGCTTTTTGCACAGATGAAGGAGTGGCTGAGATGGTGAAGGACAAGTCATGTTCTGCAATGAACAGACCCGGTCAGTCATTGGTGCCGGTACCTCAGCGGTGGCTGCTGCTCCGGCAAACGGGTTGAGTTTCAGAGCAGACAGCAGCTCTGTGGCCTGACAGCACTTTTTTTTACATTTTTTTTTTACCGCTAGTTGCCTACAGGAGTTTTTTTGTTTGTTTGTTTGTTTTTTGAGCAGATGGTACAGAAGCAGGCACCCGACCGACTGCTTCACTGGTTTTGCACCAGCAACCAACGGGCTCGCCGTCTCTGCTTAACCGGTTCGACCTGCAGCTCCGGTACGTGGCGACTTTCTGTTACGTTCATTTTGATTGGCTATCAGTGGGAATCCCTGTATGTCAACATGCATTTAGTCATTAAATACATTTTCTAAATAGTNACGCATGTTGACATAGGGAGGAAATGCAGGTTCCTTATAGGATCCTTCCTGTAGCCAGTATGTGTGTTTCCGTCTCAGAAGGGCTGCACAGAGTCCACCTCTGATGCAGGAGTGTCACTGGCCGCCGTTCTGAGAAGCTCAACTGCACCTCCAGAGAATATCTGGGTCCAGCTGACATTTGAAATACGGCCTCAGAGCTCGTCATCGTGGCCAGTGACGCTTCAGCACTGACCAGTCCATGAACTTTGCTGTGGTCACGACCAGGGATGTGCACCATACCAGATGTGAGACAGGCCTGAGTTATTACAGTCCAGGTGGGCGTGTACCTGGCATGGAGACGTACAGCTGTTTGTTGTGACGACGGTTCAGAAACCTAAATGTTCACAAGTATGGCTATGGTCCCACCACCAGTACTTCAGCATCATCGTGCTCCTATTGCCTGAGTTATCTGACATCCCTTGTTATGTTTAGGTTACCATGACAACCACATTGTGATCCGGTGGTTCTGGGCAGCTGTTGAGAGGTTCAACAATGAGCAGAGATTGCGGCTCCTGCAGGTAAGCTGCTCGCTGTTACCTTCTGGCACCAACCAAGTGTAACAGATGTTTGGTATCCGGCACATCTATTCTCTTTTTCTCGCCTCCTGTCTCCTCAGTTTGTGACCGGGACATCCAGCATCCCTTACGAGGGATTTGCCTCGTTGCGAGGCAGCAACGGGCCTCGCAGGTTCTGTGTGGAGAAGTGGGGGAAAGTCACGTCACTACCCAGGTGACTACAGGAAGAACACACAGCACATTTCAAACCAGCCTGATCTGGGTCACAGTTGTTGTCGTACGTTATCAAAAATGTTCTGAAGCTAAAGAACATTTTTAGTCAGAGGTGCTCAAGGAAAAGTTCTGGTACTGGGTGTAATCAAAGCTCATCTCCAGATATCTGTTATACAGCTGAAACCAGATGTTTACATCCACTGTAGACAAAAAGACACATAAACTTATTTCTCACCGTCTGACAGTAAATCCGACTGAATCTGTTTCAGCTCGGTCAGGATCACCAGCAGCTTCTCTGTTTGATAAACACCAGAATGATAAGAGAGACTTTTGGAAAATTGTAGAATACTTTCTTCAAAATAAGAAAGTCTAGAATGTTTGAGCTGATTTGAACTGCCTCGAGTGCTTTGACCAGTTTAAAGACAAACGGAGACGAGCTGTTTGTTGTCGTCCTGCAGCAGAACGTTTCCGTCCAGCTGATGCTACGTTTCATTTTGCAACCAGATCTTCAGCTCTTCTCTCCTGCTGCCTGCCTGCATGTCATCCAAACACACGTCTTTAAATAAAGTAAAACTGTGTCCAAGAGCTTTATAATCAGAGGAAACTCTGCTCAGACAGACTAGTGATGGAAAATAAGAACTCCTGAAGCTTTCTTCTGGTATCGAGCAGCAGAAGCAGCTCTACACTTCTATTCATTCAGTCAGAACTAGTTCCTCGTCTCTTCCCATCAGGTCCAGTGTCAGACTAAACACTGTCTCAGATGCCAACTGTTAGAAGTGTTTCAGTGAATTTGATTTCCCAGTAACTCATATGAGCCAGAAAAGTGCTTCTGTGGTTCCTCACAGCTCTCTGATCCTCCACATGAATACATGATGCTGCACCAGTGTGGGCGTCCTGTGGCGCCTCAGCGTCCCGTCCTGTGTGGACACTGCTGAAGCTGCTCTTGCTGTCTAACGTGTCTTTTTGTGGTCTGTCCTTCAGAGCTCACACCTGTTTCAACCGGCTGGACCTGCCCCCCTACCCGTCTTTCTCCGTTCTGTATGAGAAGATGCTGACCGCTGTGGAGGAGACCAGCACGTTTGGGCTGGAGTGAGACGCATCGGTCCACATGAGGAGGGTGGCTGTGGTAGAAACTGGTTTGAAGTCTGAGCAGTGTTTTATGGATGTTTTTAGGAGAACCTGATGAGAGGAGTGACCCATGAAGCTGATCTCTTCAGTGTTTGCTGCACCTGCACGTATTTTCACCTGCTTAGTAACTTTCACATGTGTGATGTGACAAATGAAGACGCACACTGCCTGAGACTGGGATCAGAACTGGCACCGTTTGACCAGTCAGAGACCCGGATGTTTGGGGTTTTCCACTTTCATAGGAGGAGCTTCAGACACATCAGAGACTCCAGAAGCAATCACTGCCTTCACTGCAAAAGCTGAATGGATTCAACCTCTTTTATTTCTGTTTGGATGGAGCTTCATGGACCGTATCCAGAACTCTGAGCTTCAGTGAAGCTGTAGTACAGCGTCTCCTTGTGGCCTAATGCAGTAACTGACTCCTGGAGATGGTGCATATCTCTCTGAAGGCCTTCACAGGTCGCCTAAGACACCTTTAGATGAAGACTGTGGGGTTTTTCCAGTGGAAGTTGCCCACCGCTGGTTTTGGAGTCCAGTCAGACGTTTTGGTATCGTTGTTACAGTATTTTCCTCTACAAGAAAAGTGATTTTCTAACGATGTGGCCGTGACATGATGTGATCTGAATGTACCGTGATCATGTGGATTGCATGGGGAGTGATTTTTTTTACCAAATCTGGATTAGCTGGCAAAAAACTTTGAGGCCAGAGTTTACTTAATAATGTCTTGACGAGCAAATTAAGTTAATTGGGTTCCATGTATCCATAAACATTTACTTTGACGTGTCGAACTGATTTGAAGCCGACGTTGATCCATATCAGAAATGTTCAAACGACTCCACCTTCAAGAAATGTAGGAAAAAAAAAAAGTGGTTTTGGCAGGTGTGCACTGGAAGGTTGTCGGTGGGGGTATGAACACACACACACACACACACACACACACACACACACATCCCTTCTGCAGCTGAATGTCCAGCAGGTGTAGAGCCACGTCCAGCCACACTGCTCCAGTCGCTACAAAACATCTGTTTTGCATTCAGCCAGTCAGAGTGTTTATCAGGGAAAGATGTCATGTAACATACATGTGGCCGTCCGTACTACTGCAGGTCCATTACCCGATACCAAAAAGTCCCTTCATCAGATGTCTGTAGACCCAGTTTATGTTCAGGCCATTTGCTCCATCAGTCCCAGCCCGCTAGCACCAGCCTCTGTGCAGCATTCATGCTACACATGCTTCACAAACAGCAACACTTCAGGAGCACATGTTGAAGCAGAAGGTAGACGTTGGTCATACAGCTGCACACGTCTGTCTGAGATCAGCTTCAGCTGTCGTTCCTCTGACACATCTACACTCCAGCCTTTGGTTGTCTCATCCTCTGACTCCATCCCGGCTCCCATCTTTACTACATTTAATGCTTCCCTCACAAACACGTTTCTGGCAAACGGTTGCAGTCAGCCTTTTCTAATGTTGCTGTAAATCAGTACCAATGTTCATGTTCAGACTCAAACAGTTAGCCAGTTTGTTTTTTCATCTTGCTGGTTTACAAAAACATTTCCTGTTTGCAGCAGGTGTGGAGCTCATGCAGGTTCCTGTGATGCTGAACCTGTTCAGATAGAGAATGAGCTGTCGGTGACTGAAGCTACGACCGTGGCTGACCGGCAGTGAGCTCCTCATAGCTCGTAGCTAACGCTGGCGACGGCCTTTGCTGCAGACCGGACACAAACATTCAACCGATTTGTGTGACTGTCAGTGAGACCTGTGCACCTGTCGACAGGTGTTTGACTCCTCTTGAACAGACTGCTCCAGGTGTCTCAGGTGTGAAGGCTGCCTTCTCCAGACGCCATGTTTCAGCTCCTTCCACAGATGTTCCATAGGATCCAGATCAGGGCTCATAGAAGGCCACTTCAGAACAGTCCAGTGTTGGTTCTGAGCCCTTCTCGGGTGTTTTGGGTCTTTGTCCTGTTCGGGGGCCCAGTTTTTAAAAAACAGTGATTGTGTTGAACCACACATCAGAGGCACTGTCTGGTTTTCTTTTGTTAATTTTCACTACATTTTTATTTATTATTACTTTTGTCAGTTTCAGGTTGTTTTCGGGACCGTTGTGGGTTTTCTTTCTTTAACAGAAGAAGTTCTGAGATGTGGCGTGGAGCCAGACCATGTCGGGATGTAAACGTAGTCAGGAAGTGGGAGCTGGTGAAACCGGGCCAGCACCAGAGTGTTCTGTTTCCTGTGCGAGCTGAGTGTGGATGGCTTTGTTGTGGACTTTTCAACTCGCTGTGAAGAGCTGTGCTGTTTGGGCAGGTGGAGAACGAGCTGCTGTAGGCCAGAGAACGACAGCATCCATGTCTGGGTGGACGTTGGAGCCGTTTGGTTCCTTCACTTCAATCAGCACCAAGAATCTTGTTCAGTTTTTGCTGTTTGCAAATTTAAAAAAACCTGTTTTCCAAGTTTCTAGCTGATTGCCTCTTGTTGAGTGTTAAACACATGAACCCGACCAACAACCAGGACTTGAGTCTTCTCTGTGTTCAGGCCTCTACCAGCAGCAAGGCAGCTCTGCAGAGAGTCCAGTGAGGGTTTTTAGGGTCAGATGAGGCGTACAGCTGGGAGTGCCTGGCATCGCAGTGCAGAGAACTGAGTTTGTTTAAAGTCACCTGAAACTCTTTCTTTGATAAGTAAGATAAAAACCTGTTGGGGGCGTCCAGGCCACAGGAGTTCCATCTCGGCCTGCTCAGAACCTTCTGAGAACAATGCCACCATGTGGAGCTTTGACCCGACAGACGGGATGAGAACGCTGGCTGTTCATAGGTCTGCTGAAGGTTACAGTAACAGATGTTATTCAGTGCTTTGGACAACATCATGGTGACTAGAAGCTGCTCTGTTTTACGATCTAACAGCTGAGAGGGCAACCCTTACCCACCTCCACCACCTCCACCTCCACCACCACCTCCACCTCCACCTCCCTCTGGACACGCTCCCACACAGTCAATTCAGACGGTTCAACTTTGAGTCACATATTTAAATGTCAACTCAGCATTTCATTTTGTTCACTGGTTGCTGGCTGTTTATTTGCCTCATAACTGTGAACAGGAGCTTCACATGATGAAGCCTTTCTCTCTTTGTGTTTTGGCGCCCTCTTGTGTTCATGAACTGCAGCACCTGATTTTACAGACTGTTTAAGCTCTGACTCAGTTTTCTAGGTTCTCTAGATTTGCACACGATGCTTTATAGTCGTGTTTGTTTTTGATCAGGTTCACATCAAGCACGCATTTCGCAGTTAAAAGCAGACTGTCGTCACAACAGAAGCACGAACGTCCTCGACTGAACCCACGGTGAAGGAGCTTGTGGTGCGTTCTTTCTCTTTTGTACACTGAGATCATTATCAGCTGTCCTCTTCACTCACGTTCCCCTCTGCACTAAGAATGTTAGCATGCCTTCTCCTGCTGCATCCAAATACAACATGTAGATAATGTTTTGGAGGGAACACACTTTATCCACACAGCAGAACCCGGACCGTACGGAGGCCTGAACACAACGGCCCAGAAGTTTACCTGAGGTCACATTTATCATTTAGTCAGAACGACAGATACTATCTCCTTCATTTGGACATGGCATCGAATTGTTTTCACTTAATTTGTCAAAAACTGAAGAATGTTCACGTCATCATTTCTGGCTTCATAAGTCAGCAGTTTCATTGTTTTGACTCTTTGGAGTTGGTTTTGCTTTTTTATTGTTTCGTCTGTTCCTACAGCAGACACACGTTTGTTAAGGAGCAGAGACCAGCTTTGGTATCGACACAGCATGAACTATGAAGGAGGTCCATGTCAAAGTGATCACCATGTTCTGGACTTGCTGTTTTCCTTTACAGTTTTAGAGAATGGAAATAATGTTTGGTAGGAACCTGGATAAAATCTTATTGGAAATTCAATTTAAATTCACCTTCTCCCTCACTGGATGCATCATCCCACGTCTGTCTGAGCAGATTGTACCAAAGTTCTGAGCCTGAAGCGGCTCCGTCACATCGATCAGCCACCTCTTCTGTCGTCACCTCACTTTAAATATGAATGTTTGTCAGTACACCTCCAGAAATAAAGTGTAATCTCTCTACATGCAAGCGTTTCTGCTTCTTTTCACGTCACGTCACTGGAATCCAACAGATAAAAAATGAAAACGTAGCTTCCATCATTTTATAATAAAAGCAAAGTTATTAAAGTTTTTAAAAAATAACATGAAGTGAAAAACCACAACAAACTGTCATTAACTGAGATTAAAAAATATCGAACGTTGACTTCAGGAAAAAGAACTAAATGATTTTATGTACAATGAAATGAAACTATATGAGAACTATCTTTAGTTTAGCTGTTTATCCCTTGGGTCAGCTTTGTGCAGGTGCTGCTGCCTTCACTCCATCATGATGCCGGTTCAGGTTTTTCTGCAGGACTCTGAAAGTTGTTCTTTACTTTGTTTTGTGTTGAGGAGGCTGGTGAGCAGGCTGCTGATGGTACCGCTGGAGGTGTTCAGAGCCGGTCCAGGCAAATGCTCCAGGCGCCGACATCCACGTGGGCGCCCGCTGACGCTGCTGTTCGTTAGCAGCGAAGACCACAGATATATACAATAAAGGCC